CCGTCCCCAACCACAATGGAAACGGCTTCCCTCATATGAACGATCCCAACTCTGCCGGAGCCATGATGGACCACTCTGCCTTCCTGGCCAACCCGGGTCAGTTTAACCCGGGGCAATTCCCTAACCAGCAACAGATGGCTGGGATGCAGAATGGTCCCATGCGACACGGCTCGCCGACGTACCAGAACCAGAACCAGACTGCGAATCCGAATCAGAACCAGAACCAGAACGCCGTCTACCAAACCAACCCGGTAATTCCATCAAAACGCCCTCGTCCCCGCGAAGATAGCGTCACGGGCTCGCCAGGCCAGAACCCGGGCATGCAACCGCCGTCGCGTTCCGAAACGCCGCAACAACAAAACTTTGGTGGCTTCCAGCCGGCCGGTGGTGCCATGCCTCAACAACCTCCCGGCCAATTCCCCCATCTACAGCCTAACGGTTCTGCCAATGCCAGTCCATCTCCCATCATGGGAAACCAGATGCGACCGGGAAATGTGCCCCAGCGAGTTGCTACCGCCTCACCACATCCCTTTTCGCCTGGTCCGCAGCAGCAGTTCACTGGCTCACAAGCGTCCCCGATACCTTCTGAGCATGGCACACCGCAACCAAATCAATACATGCAAAATATCCCTCCGGGATATAACCCGGGATACGCGCAGTCGCCTTCAAATCCTCGCCCATCTCCCAATCCCAATGTGATGGCTGGCGGCCCTGCCGTCGGCGGCCAAATGCTACCCCAGCAAATGGGACAAATGCCGCAGCACATGGGCCAGATGCCGTCAAACATGTATCAACAAATGCAGCAGCAGATGCAACACCAAGTTCCTCAACCGGGCCAGCAGCAACCGCCTGGCCAGCAGCAGCCGCAGCAGGGCCAACCGAGACCGCAGGGCATGATTGATCAACAGAAAATGGCAGCGTATCAGATGCGTCTTCAACAACAATTACAAGGAAATATGCAAATGCAGGCCCAAATGCAGGCCCAGAATATGGGTCGCGGAATGATGCCAAAGCAGCAAATGCCTGGTATGCCGAATGGTCAGATGCCCCAAGGCGCCATGAGACAGCAACCCAGGCCCATAGGAAACATTAACCCGGAACAATTCATGAAGAATCTTACGACCCTAATGAATGCGAAAGGATTGCCATTGGACCCGAACCCTATTGTAGGTGATCGACCAGTCAATCTCGTCATGTTGTTCCAGCTTGTTCAATCCAAAGGAGGCTATAAGCCCGTGACTACGGGCAACGGTTGGGGGCTCATTGCCCAGAGCCTGGGGCTACCGGCGCAAATCCCGACTGTACCACACACTCTGAAGCAAGTGTACGAGCGAAACCTGGCAAAGTTTGAGGAGGCTTGGCTTGCACAGCAGAAGCATCGGATGATGCAGCAGAATCCAAATATGGCTGGGCCAGGAACACCGCAAAAGCAGATGCAACCAGGACAACAGATGAACCAAGGGCAGATGCCACAGGTACAACAACAACAACAACCGCATCAGCAGCAACAGCAGCAGCCTCACTTGCAGCAACAGACTCCAATGAAGCCTAGTCAGACTCCAGTTAATGGGTTTTCGACTCCTCAACCGCCGCAACAACAACCACTTCCCCAGCAGCCTCAATTACCGCCGCATGTGCAGCAACAACAGCAACATCCTCATCTCCAGCAGCAGCAGCAGCAGCAGCAGCAGCCGCCGCCGCCACCGCCGCAACAACCCCAACAACCCCAACATCCACCCAACTCCAATGCCGCACCGGGACACAGGAATAGCATGTCCCGAGGCGTGGATCCCTCTACGCCCAACGACTTCTCCATGCAATCACCTTCGCATGCTCGACCTGGCAGTGTCTCTGTCGATGGCCGACAGGCAACACCGCTGCCTGCTGTTGGTGCTGAGCAACATATGCCTCGCATGCCCCCGAAGCCTGAAGACTACAGCCCATGTGCAAGGGAACTTTCGACACATGGTGGGGTTGACCTTCATGCTGCCAATCTTCTCGGTGCCGAGTTGGAACGATGGGAGCCGACTGTTCCTTCTGTAAACGAGCTGGGCAACATCGACATATCTGCCCTTACCCGCAGTCTCCAATGCGGTATTCATGGTGAAGTGCGCCTAGCTCTTGACACACTTGCTACGATCTCATCGTCACAAAACCAAGCTCACTTCCTACATCTTCGAGCTTGTGATGACCTGGTCGAGGCTTTGGTAGATTGTGCAGAATCTCAAGTGGACCTACTTGTTGAACATACGACGGAGGTGGCTGATGAGATTCAACTTACTTCCTATGAAGATGTTGTTAGAGGATGCCGAATAGAGCGATGGGCTGTGAGAGATGTGCCTGCATTTGGCAGCATCGAGTACCAACTTGATGGAGCCGTGGACCGACTTATTTGCATAACGACAATTTTGCGAAATGTATCATTTCCTGGCGAAAACAATGACAACCACATCATGCTTTGCGAAGAATCTGTCATCAAGATGCTTTGCTCCATTATTCGGTATCTCGGAACGCGGACGATGCTTCTACGGACACACGCCAATACCCTTGATTTCATGAAAGACATTGTGGTTCTTCTCTCAAATATTTCAAGCCAATTAGAGATTCCTGGTCGAGAGCAGGCCTTGAGTCTGTTGCAGTTTCTACTCGCGTTTGCTCCTGTCCCAGGTCCAACAATGGCCAGCGACACGCTTAACTTCACTCCTTACGACCCCAGCATTCATTCGTATCTCCCACATGCGGTTGATGCCCTGGCCAAGTTGCTTGCTCGTGACGAACCAAATAGAGGCTTTTACAAGACGCTTTTTACGATTGATTCTTCATCACCCCTCGCTAATGAGCTTCTCGTCCGAACATTTGCCTTGACTGTAGCCCCCTTGCCAGACAAGGCAAAAGAGCAATTACGACCACCTACATTCCCGCCGCTATTCGAGACAAGAAAACCGTTTCTGATGCAAGGCCTTTTGGGTGCAGAAATCATAGCTTCTCTTGTGCCAGGATCCGAACCGGGAATGGCTCGAGCCCTTCTTGCGTCAGGCAACTGCCTCGCACAGAACCTTGTTCAGCTGATTCAGGATCTGTGCTTCTTGTACGAAAAGCCACCCCCTAATACTCGTGGCGGTAGCCGGGCAGTAGCCGCTAGAAAAGACCCCGAGCTTGTTTATATTGTCGTTGTTGCTGTCTCACTTCTGCGTCGTCTTGCCGAAAAAGCAAGAGATTCTTCAGGTACCGGATCTGCAGGTATTGGGGATCTACTGCCGCAACCGCAGATGTTGATGGACGCGCTGATGATGCAATCTCCCGAATGGACGAAAGAGGGGTTACTGCCACAGTTAACAGCAGTGCTTAATTTGGATGGATGAGCTGACGCAATGTTGTAACAACAACATCTGATATCGACATGACTGCTTTATTTTGTACTGCGGCTTTTGAAGAGGTGGATTTCTCTTCTGGAAAGGTCTCCTCCAGCGAATATAAAAATGATGCGTGAAGGCACGAGGCACGGGATGTATTTTTTTGGTCCACCCTTAACCATTACTGTTTTTTTACTAGTTGTTTTGTCAACTTTTTGACGGTGTATCAGATGACGGCGCATAGCTAGATTTGCATGGAGATGCGAACTTGATTTGGAAAGGCAAGGCTTTGGGGTATATCCTGTAGGACAGTTGTACATAGGTACAGGAGTGTGAGACATAAACTGATACCATATGACCCTTTTAAAACGCCCTCTAGTTTTCAATTGCTCTACTATACAGTTCGGTTGATCATCAGTTATGCTGTGACGGTACCAATACATTGATGAGGCGTGACGGAGAGTCGTTCACGCTATCCAAGCCACTTATATACATCCCTCCGTGTCTCCTCCTGCCTTGTCCTCAGAATCCACGCTCTAATAGCCAAGACTTGGTCTTTTCGTAATAATCACCCTAGAATCCTGTTAGCAAGCCCGCCGTCCACAGGGTCAACTAGAAATAGACGTAGGGAAGCACCTATGACAGGTACTTTTGGCCACGTACCTTCAGCTCGATATGCTGTGTCGTCGGATTAAGTCTGATATCCTGCTTGCTCACTCCGAGAGTCTCTACCAAGTCGTCTAGCAGTTTCTTCCGGTCACCATCCACCTTTTTTATCAACACCACTTGGCGGTTTCCTCCCGACGCGAATCGTCTGTATACTGGAAGCTGTATTGAAGGTGTGCGACGAACGATGTAGGAAGCGCCAGCCAGGTCTTCTAGTGATTTCGTCGGAGGAGGCGTGGGAGCGTGGCTCACGGGTGTGTAGCTGCGAGCGGGTTTATTGGCGGCGGTGGTGGTGAGGGATCGTGATGATTGTGACCAGGAGGCGAACCGGCAGGTTGGAAGGTTGGATGAAGGGATGACTGTGGTTCTGTAGATGCTTGATTGAGAGAGGTAGTTTTGCCCTCTGCATAGGGCTCGAGAAACATGTTGATGCATCGTGGGTTGCAGAAAATGCCAACAAGAGATTGGAGTCTGTCGTTGATACAGAGGAGGACGATTTGCCAACTAGGTAGTCGTACTTTGACGCTGATAAAACGGGTTCAAGTACTATATACAAGAAGTAGCTTTGAACAAATAAACAGGGAACAAAACTTGGTCGCTGATGGTCAATTGATCTCCATGACGGGTCAAAATCGCGAATCACTTAGAAATCGGGAACTTTCACGCAGGCCTGACGTGAAGCTGTCCCAAAAATCTCACGGTCACATGACTGAGGCGCGCGTCGGGCCGGCAAATCTCCGGGTGTGCAGGGACAGCCCCCCACACCACTTTGTGTATTGGCGAAATTCACCAAAAATCTGCCCCTCCACTGGATTTGCGTGTGGGCGAGTTGCGTCTTTACCACCCTTGCCAACGAACCGAGCGATTCGCGGTCTTTTGGAGCACAAAAAGAGCTTCTCGTCTTTTGCCAAAACTCACCAGGAGGCTTAGCTCTCAAACGAACCCCTCCACAAAGAAAAACGGACTCGACCAAATTTCGCGATGGAGGATATCCTGACGGCCGTCTCGGCCGATGGTTCATCGATTATGCCCAAGTTGGCACCGCACCTTAGCAGACACCTGCTGTTCCCGCTCATTCAGTTCGAGGGCGACCAGGCCGAGGAGAAGGGCGAAGATGAAAAGGCCAAGAAGATCTTGTCGGGGAAAATCAAGCTGCTGGAGGACACCAATATGACCGACTACGTTGCGACTCTGTACTGCGAATTGCATGGCGCTTCCGACCCGCCCGCCGAATACACCAAGAAGAGACAGGATGTTTTGGCGCAGCTGGAGAAATATGAGCAGGCTACTGCTAAGATTGCCGACCTTCTGACGCAGGATGAGGTTGTTAATGGTCTTCGAAGCGACAAGGTTGCCAACTTGGAGTTTCTGAAGAACCAGCACGGAGTGAGTTGGCACCCTGCCCTGATTGCCTGCGAAATTTGTTTGAAAGAGAGAAAATAGAGGTTGCTAACGGTCCTGGAGGTTACGATGGAAATGGTCAACGCACTCTATGACTTTGGACAGTTCCAGTTCCGATGTGGTCAGTATGGCCCGGCCGCCGATATGCTGTACCAGTTCCGCGTCCTCTCCACCGACAACGACAAGGTCTCTGCCTCAACCTGGGGCAAGCTGGCTTCCGAGATTCTCTCTACAAACTGGGAGTCAGCCGTCGATGAGCTCAAGAACGTCAAGGAGGGCATCGACTCGAAGCTCTTCAACAACCCGCGCGCCCAGCTCGACCACCGAACCATGCTGGTCCACTGGTCTCTCTTCCCCCTGTTCAACTGGGAGGGTGCCCGCGAGCCCATCCTCGACATGTTCTTCTCCGCGGCCTACATCAACACCATCCAGACCTCCTGCCCGTGGATCCTGCGGTACCTGATCGCTGCCGTCATCACCGGCCGTACCCGCGCGCGAAACAGCTCTACCCAGCAGAAGCAGCTCAAGGACATTGTCCGCTACGTGCGCCAAGAAGCCTACGAGTACGCCGACCCAATCACACAGTTCGTCAACGCCCTCTACATTGCCCATGACTTCAACGCCGCCCGCGAGGCCCTCCGCCAGGCTGAGGATGTCTGCCGCAGCGACTTCTTCCTCGCCTCTTCTGCCGACGCCTTTGTCAACGCCGCCCGCCACCTCATCTGCGAGAGCTACTGCAAGATCTTTAGCCGCATGAATATTCGCGACCTCAGTGCCAAGCTAGGCCTCAACCCCGACGAGGGGGAGAAGTGGATCGTCAATCTGATCCGGGAGACTCGACTCGATGCCAAGATTGACAGCCAGGACGGCACCGTCATCATGAACCACCCTCCCAACAATGTCTACCAACAAGTCATTGAGAAGACCAAGGGCGGATTCTTCAGAACACAGGTCCTCAACGCCGCCGTTTCCAAGTAAACGACATCTCCCAGACTGTGACATGAAAGGCAGCAAAAATCGCCCACTCTACGAAATTTATACAGGCATGCCGTCGGGAGAAATAAACCGTGTTAGAAAAGGGACTGCGATTTTCTCCTCTCTCAACATCCAGGCTTCTTAAATGAAGGGGACACCTGGACAGGCATGCAAACGGTGAACAAAAAGACCAACTAGAGCAATTAGACGCGGAGGCTCTCTTTGACGATCTTCACGAAGAAAAGGGAGGATTGGCTCAATATTTTTCAACGGAAAATGGGAGGAGCGTGTGAGAGATGAAATGGCCCTGTTTTATATCATGTTTATCCCCTTGCCTTCCCCCACCCTCTTGGTGATGCGGTTTGCATTGCATGGCGTTATTAATTTTTCGGGTATTCTGGACGAATGGGTTCCGGGGCAATGGGGAAAGCAAGTAGGCGAGGACAATGGAACCAATGCGTGTTTTGATGGGTGGGAGATTTTTTAAAAAAAAAGTGAAGTGAAATAAACATGATTTGTTGAAACTACTGCTTCCCCCTTTGCGACTGTGACGTGATTTGTGGCGAATGGACTTGGATCCTGATCAGCCTTGGTGGTGTATCTTTTCAATATTCTGACACTAGGGCTATATTACTAGGCATGAATGTACTTTTCATCTACACCTCATCAAACTCATCAACTCATTGAACATGCCCTCTTTGTCGCGTCTTCATGGCTTGACCGCCATGTATCTGCGCCGAAGCCTTTCCAGCTTGTACCGCTGCCAATTGCGCTGATATTCCTAAATATCTCCGTCTCGTACAGCTAGCCAGACCTGGCCTTTCAATGCTTCAATTGCACTGTCCCGCATCCACCATACGTCACCACCTGGAGCATGGGGCGTGACCTGTTCTCCTATCGTCTCTTGAGAGTCACCAGGTCTAACAGTAGCTTGGCTATCGTGAACGCTGGGAGCAGCAGATTTAAGTAGCCTTTCTCGAGCGGCTCCCCATTCAAAGAGAAGCCTTGCACCCTCTAGACGTTCTCGGTCACCACCCTGCAAGATACCTCTCTCCATCTCCATTCGAGCATCTACGGCAGACCCCGCGTCTTGTTCCTTCTCGTTGCTCTCCATGAGGGCTGCGCGTTCTGCGTAGCTTACGCTTCGGAGTTTGCCTAAACCAAAGATCCACTCAAGTGGGTTGTTTCCCTTGCCGTCGCTGCCCAAAGTTCGCAGCGTGGATGTAAAAGCCCCTTCAGATGGTGGGCGCCGCTGTAGGTATATGCTCTGCGTCTGAGCAAACGCTTGTCTTAGCTCGTCGTTGGAAAAGTCGAGCTCAATGTCCCAGAATCGAGGTCCACAAGACGTCGATAAACTAGAAATCTGATCTAGGGGAGGTAGGAGGCAAGGCGTTGTACGATATAGAATATGCTCAGAGGAAGAATCTTGCTTCTTCTTGATCTGTACAGACACCGATACTGGCTGCCCAGTCAGGACATCCTTCGCGACCAAGCAACGCTGCTCCGTCGCCAAAACCCAAAAGTGGCGGAAGGCTTGGAGATGTGATCTATTGTCCATTACGTTGGATGGAAAGATAGGATAAAACGATATCAACAAGGCAGCAATTGCCTTGTTGCTGGAACCAAATGTCACCGTCCCGCACCCTAGAAAAAGTGATCCAATGGCCAAGTGAGCAGCAAGATGCGATCCATATGGGATATCTGGGTTATCCCTGCCGTGTAGAGAGCGCAGTCGTCTCAGAACCAAAATGTCCCCAGTGCCTGCCATAACAATGGAACAAGATAAGGCGAGAATGTCCTGGCACATTCTAGCATTTGACCTCGCGAGTTCTTCATCATACAAAGGTGCAGCATCTGGATGAGACCGTGGGGTAGCTTCGATGTTCGAGATGCGAATGAATTGATCAAGGTAGTGTAGGAGCAGATCGCGAGCCCTGGTGGAAGCACTTCCCGAAAATCGAAGGGCAATTGAAAAGCAAATCCCAGTCAGTATACTAAAGAATGGGAGATCTGTCGAGCGCAGCTTGGTCGTGCCTAGCAATTTGTATCTGGCGCGATATGGAAGAGGGAGGCTATCGCGGACCCATGTAAGTGTAGGCTCGATCTTGGACCATAGAATAAGATTTTTGGTCACGGCACGGAGGAGCAGGATATCCGGCCGCACATAATCGAACTGTAAAACAGAGTCTGGAACATCAATCTTTCGGGCCACGATTTGATCTTCAGACTTCATAAATATGAGGGCAATAGCCATAACAGCGCCAGCTGAAGCTCTGTCCAGAATGTGAACAATCTCAACATTCTTGGTTGCTGTAGCATGAGCAATAAGTTTCTCCGTGAGCTTCATGTCTTGGAGACCCTTCAGATCCCCGCCCTTGCCCAAGTTGATGAGGCCTAAGGCGAAGCCAGCAGCAAGGCGATAGCATTCGCTCCTGAGAGGCTCCTCTTCGTCCTCTTCGTCAATGTGCTCTATTTCTGACAGCATAATTTCACTCATTCGTCGGTGCTGGCTATTGCAGTACAGAAGGCCAATGCCCATAATCCCAGAGGTTTGCGTCAGAGGGGATAAATTCAGCTCTGCAGCGCCACGAGGGAGCATACGCGTTGCATGGACCGACAGTAATCGTGTGATGAGAGAGTCCATGGTGCCCATGTAGGATGCCGCCAAACCCAGAAGCAATCCAATAGATGTCATCGTGTGTTTGGGCGTGAGATATTTGAATGCAACCCATTTCGCCACTCCCTTCAAATGCCCATTCAAGCCAAGGGCCAAGAGAAATCCGGCGTGCCTATTACTTAGCTCCTGCGTCGGTTTATTGTACAAGATCCAAGACGTATCGATCCCTTTGGCCTGGGGCGAGATTGCTAAACCCGCAGCAACGCCTTGGTGGAAGAACCCCCAGCAAACCTTCTCCTCGGTGAATAGTGACTTATCAACCCCAACAGTGACATTCGTTGGCTTAACTATACAATTCAAGTTAAAGCCGCCAATGTGAAACTTTTGAGTGATGAGAGGGAATCGTAAACTATAATATAATAGTGCGCGACCGGCTGGGATTGCCAGTGTACCCGTTGCTATTCTTGAAACAAGTTCTTTCTGTTTCTCCAGGTACTCGCTCTCCGGCCAACTAGGATCAGGATTCAGACGAACCACCCTGGCCTTGTGAGTTGATAATAGATGTTGAGCTTCGTTGAGACGGCGGTCGTCCTTGAAAAGAGCTCGTATCACCGCCTGACGTTCTGTACCTTCACCTTCGTCATAGTCCGTGTTATTTGCCTCTTCTACGGACTGACATAGCATTTTGAAATCCCATGCAGCCATATGGGTTGGTGCTAAAATGTTCGCCACGGATTGTCGAGGTCGTCTACTCGGCTTGACAATGAGGCTAATGTCGCCCCTCCGTACTAGATCCAGGAGATGATGAGGCCACTGCGAAGGTGGATGTGGCTGGCATAAGGATATCGCATCTTGAAGAGGTGCTAATACAGCTTCAGGGAGTGTTTCAAGGATGTAGTTCGTAAAGCCACAATCCTGCATAGCCTCAACCATCTCAACAGCTGTTGACTTTGGCCTGATAATCTTGAAGAAGCGTTTGAACATCAGTGTTCGGGTAGCAATAGCGTCCCATCTCTTATCCTGTAGTTTTTCAGCCTCGGAGACTCGTGAGCTGGCGTAGTATATGTCGGCAGGCGTCATGCAAGGCTTTCCACGAACTCCGGATAGTCGGGATTGGATCCATTCCAAAATGTCTGGTCGAACCGGAGGCTGTGGTATGGCTGGTCTCAGATTAAGTTCTGATAAAGTGTTTGTATTAGTCCTTGAGGTTACCACAAATTTGGCTGTCACTTACCCAAATCATGACGCGTATCGACATCCTCCTGGATACCTAGCTCGTAAATTGTGACGAAAGTTTGCCATTTGAGCCATCTAGCGAGTTGGCAAAGCAACACTCTTAAGTCAGTTCTGCCTGGAGAAACATATTCAGGTGTTGTGATATCTAATTTCTGTTCGTCAAGGAGGAGGTGGAGTGCCATAAAGATGTCCACGGCTACCTTACGTCTGGTAGCAGACGACCTGGCAAGAGACACGGGCATATACCCTTGGCGACCCATGGCTGCCTCACCCAGAGGAGAGCTTAGGTATTCCTTCGACAAGGCAATGTGGCGCGTAAGAAATTTAGAGCTTAGGAGAGCGTCGCTTTGGGCCGATGCATTATCGGCTGTCTCTTCTTCCAAGGCCCATTGCCAGCCCTGATTCATCATCCAGGTTGGGCAGCCCAGCGAATTTGTAGTTTCTCCCAGCTCTAGAGCTCTCCAGTCCTCTGACTCTCGAATAGCACCAAAAGATCCAGACAAAGGCCTTCTTTTTCGAACAGGTAACTGAGCGGTTTTGAACGGAGAGTCGTCTTCACGACCAAGATTAAGAAAAGTACTCAGAAGGAGAACTGTTGTTGCAGACCACTCGACATTAGGTAGATTATCCTGGTGATTCTGTAGCCATTGTGTCATATGAAGCCAGCCTGCATGAAGGCGGCCGCCAAGAGCATCCGGCAGCACACTTTTGCAAATGTCTAGGACTTTTTTGACTTGCGGGCAACTTGGCTGAAGTTGGATTCTGAGTTGATGAAGCCGACCATGTGTGTCAACTACATCAACGACACCGCAATTCCGCGGATGACGAATGCCAACTATTCCCCCACTAGTTAGGTCCATGACCTCTGACTTTCGTTGCTTGACATCTCTATCGGCAACTCTGCCCCGATATTGGATGTTTCTGGTATCGTCGACAAACAGCAGGGAGAGCGATATTTTCGTCAGTTCAATCCAAGGAGCCTGAGCGGTCAGTTCGTGCTGTCCATCATCGGAGTCGGAAAGGACGAGGATCACGGATAAGTCACCATCAACAAGTTTCGACGAGTCCACAACGCTTTGAACCTTCCACTGTGTTCCAGGTGATATCGAGACGATTGAGTACCTGGACTGGTCCTTTCCGGATGCAGTGG